AAATGCCTCAAATTGAGGATTTAAAAAAATTTTATTTTATTGACATATAATTGATTTACAATGTTGTGATACTTTCTGGTGTACAGTAAAGTGATTCATATATACATATATTATTTTTCAGATTCTTTTCCATTATAGGTTATTACAAGATATTGAATATAGTTCCCTGTGCTATACAGTAGGACCCTGTTTATCTATTCTGTATATTAGTTTGCATCTGCTAACCCCAAACTCCCAATCCATCCTCCCTTCCCCCCAACCCACCACAACCACAAGTCTGTTCTCTATGTCTGTGAGTCTGTTTCTGTTTCATAGATAAGTTCATTTATGTCATATTTTAAGATTCCACATATAAGTGATATCATATGGTATTGGTCTTTCTCTGCCTGACTTACCTCACTTAGTGTGATAATCTCTAGGTCTATCCATGTTGCTGCATTATTTCATTCTTTTTTATGGCTGAGTAATATTCAATTGTATATATATATACCACATCTTTATCCATTCATCTGTTGATGGACATTTAGGTTGCTTCCATGTCTTGGCTATTGTAAATAGTGCTGCTATGAGCATTGGGGTGCATGTATCTTTTTGAATTAGAGTTTTGTGCAGAGGTATGCCTAGGAGTGGGATTGCTGGATCATATGGTAGTTCTGTTTTTAGTTTTTTGAGGAACCTCCATACTCTTCTCCGTAGTGGCTGCACCAATTTACATTCCCACCAACAGTACAAGAGGGTTCCCTTTTCTCCACACCCTCTCCAGCATTTGTTGTTTGTGGACTTTTTAATGATGGCCATTCTGACCAGTGTGAGGTGGTACCTCATTGTAGTTTTGATTTGCATTTCTCTAATAATTAGCAATGATGAACATCTTTTCATGTGCCTTTTGACCATCTGTATGTATTCTTTGGAGAAATGTCCATTTGGGTCTTCTGCCCATTTTGAGGATTTAAATACCTTATAGTTTAAGAACAACCTTTCATTAGAATACTGTCCTGTCTTTAAAAGTGATTATTTTAGGGCTTCCCTGGTGGCGCAGTGGTTGAGAGTCTGCCTGCCGATGCAGAGGACGCGGGTTCGTGCCCCAGTCCAGGAAGATCCCATATGCCGCAGAGCGGGTAGGCCCGTGAGCCATGGCCACTGGGCCTGCGCGTCTGGAGCCTGTGCTCCACAACGGGAGAGGCCACAACAGTGAGAGGCCCGCATACCACACACACACAAAAAAAGTGATTATTTTAAAATGTCATTACATCTATATCTATCTATATTGATTATGTTAGTATATAGTTCTAAATATATAATTTTATGTAGTAGCCATATCTATATATTTATATTTGGAATGCTACTCCAAATAAAGTGGCTTGGTTTGGAGATTAGGGATCTAAAAATATACAAATGACAAATTAATAGATATAGTTATGCATCTATATCAAAGTATTAACATTTCCAGATTTTTGATAATTCATCTTATTTATGTTGGTTTTTTTTTTCTGAATTTTTTGCAAAGATATGCAAGGGAAAAGAACATTTCAGAAAGACAGAATGCACATGTGGGCAAATACCCTTAAGCTGGAAGCATCCCTTTTGGCCACTGAGCATTCACAGAATAAGCAAAAAGAGTCCAAAGTGGCTCACTTAGAATTAGGGTAGTCATACAATTTATCACCCAAACCAGGACACTTTTGAGACTGGAAGAGGAAGCTATTAATAATTTTGCATAATCCGGGACTCCCTAGGCAATCTCAGCCTTTTGGTCAGCCTGCCTAGAGTGGAAGGTCTGTGGAACTTGTCTTTGAAGATGACCCAGTATTGGAATGTTAAAGGTAAACCACAGAGACTGCCCTTTTATCAGTACAATTGGGTGCAATTTCTAAACATACTGGCCAGATGGCTAAAGAACCTTGAAAACTTCAAGTTTCTCACCTCATTAGCTCATTTGGATCAATAGAGCCCTAATTTTAGAAATTTGTTCTTGATTAAATAGTATTTCCCAAAGAAATATGCCATTTGACTAAGAACACACAGTATTATTACCCACATTCTCTCACACTGCAGATTTTCATCTTGGAAACACTGTGTAACAGTTTTAAACCCTTCCTGATTCCAAATCCCTTCTTGCCTTGCCTGTTTTCCACTAAGAGCTTTGTTTTAGGGAACTATTATCGGTGACCTGAGGCACTTACTTAAGATGGCCACTGTCCCCATCCATCACTCTGTTCCCTTCCGGCTATTTATATCTCCCAGTCCTTCACCGCCCAGCTCAAATTCCTCCTCTCTCCCAAGCCTTCTCCACCCACCACAGCAATCTGTCCTGCTGAAACACCTAGGCATTTATTATCTGCACATCAGATCAGCACCTTCTCACCGGCTGTTCTGTTCTCCAGTGATTGATTGCATCTACATCGCCCTCAAACTAGTCTGTAAGCTCCTCGTGGGCACAACTACTCACATTCTATGCCACCTGGCATGTGGCCAGGCAAGGTCAGTCTGTCAACCTTTCTTATTCCGATCATAAATTGGGGGTTGTTAATTCATTTATATACTCCGCCTCCCACCCCAGTTTGGGTGGTTGCTAGGCATTAACAGAGGCGATTATTTCGATTACCCAAAGTGTCTAAATGCCAGGATGTTTGCATAGGTGGAAAAACTAAAGCCTTCTCAAATGCAGCAACTGGTGAGGTCTTTCTTCCCTTAACACATCATGAAATGGCACAGTAAAGATTCAGAACAAAGGTAAACAGGACGGTTATGTTGTAGAGTACTGTCTCTGTGTTAAACATGGTTCTGTGGGCATAAAGGATGAAAGCTCGGACAGGCTCTGTTAACACCTGCAATACTATCAGTCCCATCTTACAATATTTTACTTGTTTTTTTTTTTTTTTTTTGCGGGGGTACGCGGGCCTCTCACCGTTGTGGCCTCTCTCGTTGTGGAGCACAGGCTCCAGACGCACAGGCTTAGCGGCCGTGGCTCACGGGCCCAGCCGCTCCGCGGCATGTGGGATCCTCCCGGACCGGGGCCCGAACCCGCGTCCCCAGCATCGGCAGGCGGACTCTCAACCACTGCGCCACCAGGGAAGCCCCTTTACTTGTATTTTGATTCTCCCTGTACAGGGCCAAAACATGGAGCCCATCAGTCAACAGTGCTCCAACATCTGCCCTCTCCCCTCCTGAGAGTCCAGAACCTACCATTACTTAGTATCGATAAACTAGGCAACACACATTGCTATTCAATCACAGGTCAATCCATAATTGAAATGATACTCTCTGTACCTCCTGCTGCCAAATTTATCAAACTGATATACATGTCAATGTCTGTTCCTCCAGCCTTAAGATGACTTAAACTGTACCTGAAGTGTGAACAACCAAATTTAGATACCAATATCGTTTTCTTTATTCCAACACTCAAGGCACCATATTTCTCATATGTGACAGTCTTCTTGGGAAATCTGCCAACTCAAATGCATTCATCAGGGCTTCCCTGGTGGTGCAGTGGTTGAGAGTCTACCTGCCGATGCAGGGGACACAGGTTCGTGCCCCGGTCCGGGAAGATCCCACATGCCACAGAGCGGCTGGGCCCGTGAGCCATGGCCGCTGAGCCTGCGCGTCCGGAGCCTGTGCTCCACAACGGGAGAGGCCGCAACGGTGAGAGGCCCGCGTACTGCAAAAAAAAAAAAAAAAAAAAGCATTCATCGTAACCTGCCTCACTCTCCAATACTTTACAATTACACACGTGGTCAGCAAGGGAGGGTGACCTCTGTTCAAGCAAAAAGTAAAACTCCAGTTGAACTGTTAACATAGACAAAGAGGGAGCAGTAATCCCCTTCCTTTTGCTAGTTCATCTGGCAGCATAGTGAGCATCATGAAAAGGCACACCTTCTCCAAGAAACTTTACTTCCATCTGTTAGAAAATAGTCTTCACATTCCTGATTTGGTTAGAACAGGCACTTCAGTGCCATCCATCAGGAAGACTGCCACAATAAATCTATGATGTCTGTGATGTGAATGGTGGTCCCTTAAAAGTGGCCCAACTGTGCAGTGCACAACCTATGCAGTAACCCTGGCCAGGGGTTTGATAACTTCAGCGCGAGGGAGTTGTGCTTTATTTTACTTCCCCTCTGCACCTCAATTTCATCATCTATAAATTGGGAATAATAAGAGCTATCTAGCATGGGTGTCTTAGCGCTCATCAGCCTTCCCATTAGAATAGGAAAGCAATGGTCTGTAAAGGATTCAGAGAATAAGAAAGAGACGTCCATATTACTTGATTATTGCCTAAGAACTATATCCCTAAGATAGACAGCTTACACTTTCTTCGATTCTACAAACAGAATTCATCCAGTAACAAACTCTGGCTTTCATATATTGAAAGTGGAAAGACTTGAGTTTTTCTTGTAGCGATGATGGCTCTCATAGCACCCCCACCCCCTTGCTGGGTGTCTGTGTGATTAAAGAAGCCCACGATGGCAAAGTAGTTGACAGGGTTAGGGGTTCATCCTCTGGACACAAAAAAGAAAATTGGAAATCCATTGTCCTACATCAAGGTTTCTGGACCCCCTCACTGTCATTTGGGGCTGGATAAATCTTCACTGATGGGGAGATGTCTGCATCTCATGGTAGGATGTTTACCAGCATCCCTGGCCTCCACCCCCTAGATGCCAAGACACGATTAGAACCCCTCCCCTCCCTGTCACAACAACCAAAAATGTCTCCAGGCTTCGCCAATGTCCTTGGGGTGGGGTGGGGCAGAAAAGGGGGAGGCAGGAAAATCATCCCTGGTTGAGAAACCCTGGCCTATGTGGAAATTTAAATTTACAGCCTTAGAATCATTCTTGAGGCGTAGTCATCTACGAGCAATCTGGCCTCCAAACAACAGGGACTTTGTTTGAACAAACCTGGGCTTAGCTCTGAGTTCCACAATGATTGTTTCATGACCTTAAAGACACTAGGCTTCTATTTCCTGTCATATAAATATAACCCAAACCTTGGCCTCTTATTTTCAGGATTTCCTCCTTATGGGGGCCGGGGCTGGAGGAAAGGTGTTGGGGACTGCTGAGGGCTGAACCGAGACATTGCAACCTACGCATCCCCCTGCTGACTCTGTACCTGGCCACCTCCTGGAGTCCAGGGGCTGCCATTTTCTCTTGAATAATGGTTACCACACAGGGCTGGCATGAAGTGAAGATAGCAGCTTTCAACCTTGCCACCATGGCTTCCATGTAAGTATAAGCCCATCACTTAATTTCCCACAACACAGCTACCTAAGACCAGGTCATTTAAAATCTTGAAGGAAGCAAGGGAAATGACATTAGAGAAAACCTTATGAATGGATGGATACTGGACTGAAGGATTCCAGAGTCATACCCAGATCATCCCAGACAGGTCCCCAACTGGATGCTACCTGACCAGCCTGCAAAAGGCTCTCACCTGCCTCGTTCCCACCACCTGGAGGACGGTCAGTCCTCTGCCGTCTGGGAAGTGCAGAGGCCCAGCGCTTGTCTCAGGCCTGCTCCCTCCCTCTCCTCCAGCCTTCATTTCCTGGGGCTCCTTTTCGCCCCCCAGCACCCCAGGATGACTGACAGATGGGAATATCCACACAGAGGCTCACCCACTACCCACAGGGGTTGGCCTTTTCAGAATACTTGAAAGACAATCTCTCAACAACTCGGTTCCCTAAGTCTGAGGTATTTGGTTTGGAAAATCACCTTGAGGGAGGCTTTCACCAAGAATCCAAGCTGGCTGTAGCCACTGGGTCCACCTTTGTGGTTCCCTGTGAACAAGAAATGAAGTAAGGCTTCCAGTGATCTACTTGATCTGGCCCAGTCTCCATCATGAAATGTCTTATGACAAATGATGAACAACAACACATATGACACAATTCCCAGGAATAAAAAATACTTTTTTAGAGATAAGAGTGCTATGGTCTGAATGGTTGTGTTCTCCCTGCAAACTCATATGTTGAAGTCCTAATCCTGAAGGTGACAGTATTAGGAGGTAGGGCCTTTGGGAAGTGATTAAGTCATGAAGGTGCAGCCTTCATGGCTGGGATTAGTGCCCTTATAAAAGAGACCCCATAGAGCTAGCTCACCCCTTCTGCCATGTGGGGACATGGTGAGAATGTACCATCTAAGAAGCAGGAAGCCCTCATTGAACACCAAATCTGCCTGCACCGATCCTGGACCTCCACCCTCCAGAACTGTGAGACATAAATTTCTGTTTTTCTTAAGCTACTTAGTCTGTGATATTTTGTTACAGCAACTCAAATGGACTAAGATAGAGTATTCTAAATACATAATGGCAAAGAAACATTTTTTTCCTAAAAGACAGCAAAAAATATTATGAAACAGGAGTAATTAAAAGAGGAATTGGTCAAAAAATGGACAGAAGACCTAAATAGACATTTCTCCAAAGAAGACATACAGGTGGCCAACAGGCACATGAAAAGATGCTCAACATCACTAATTGTTAGACAAATGCAAATCAATGAGGTATCAGCTCACACCAGTCAGAATGGCCATCATCAAAAAGTCTACAGATAATATCAATAAATGCTAGAGAGGGTGTGGAGAAAAGGGAACCCTCCTACACAGTTGGTGGGAATGTAAATTGGTGCAGCCACTATGGAGAACAGTATGGACTAAAAATAGAGTTGCCACATGATCCAGCAATCCCACTCCTGGGCATATATCCAGAGAAAACTCTAATTCAAAAAGATACAAGCACCCCAATGTTCATAGCAGCACTGTTTACAATAGCCAAGACATGGAAACCACCTAAATGTCCATCAATAGATGAATGGATAAAGATGTGGTGTATATATATATACACACACATACATACACACATTGGAATATTACTCAGCCATAAAAAAGAATGAAATAAGGCCATTTGCAGCAACATGGATGGACCTAGAGATTACCATACTAAGTGAAGTCAGACAGAGAAAGACAAATATATGATATCGCTTATATGTGGAATCTAAAAAATGATACAAATAAACTTATTTACAAAACAGAAATAGACACACAAACATAGAAAACAAACTTATGGTTACCAAAGGGGAAGCGAGAGGGATAAATTAGGAGTTTGGGATATAGATATATACTGCTATATATAAAATAAACAACAAGGACCTACTGTATAGCACAGGGAACTATCTTCAACATAATAACCTATAATGGAAAAGAATATGAAAAAGAATATACACACACATATATTCAATATATATATCTGAATCACTTTGCTATACACCTGAAACTAATAGAACATTATAAATCAACTATACTTCAATTAAAAAAAAAAAGAGGAATTGAGGCTGGAAAAGACAGTTCAAGCAATGGAACAGAAAACAGCTCAAAAACATACCCATATAATGGATCTCTATAGAAAGGATAAATTATTCAATATGTGCCCAGGAAAATTGGTAACTGTTCGGAAAAGGTAAAAAATTATTTTTTTATTTCACATCGGGACTTCCCTGGTAGCACAGTGGTTAAGAATCTGCCTGCCAATGCAGGGAACACGGGTTCGAGCCCTGGTCTGGGAAGATCCCACATGCTGTGGAGCAACTAAGCCCATGCGCCACCACTACTGAGCCTGTGCTCTAGAGCCCATGAGCCACAACTACTTAGCCTGCGTGCTGCAGGTACTGAAGCCCACACGCCTAGAACCTGTGCTCCACAACAAGAGAAGCCACCACAATAAGAAGCCCGCACACCGCAACAAAGAATAGCCCCCCGCTCGCCACAACTAGAGAAAACCCATGCGCAGCAGCAAAGACCCAACGCAGCCAAAAATAAATTTAAAAAATTTTTTTATTTCACGTCATTAACCAAAAATGTCTGAGATCTAAATGTAAACACAAAAACCTATGAAGCATTAAAAAAATACACAAAAATATTTTATACCCTTGGAGAAGAGGAGTTCTTCTTAAGAAAGACACAAAAAGTAAAAGTCCTCAAGGAAAAGTCTGATACATCTGACTACATCCAAATGAAAAAAAAAAGTGTATGGAGAAGATGCCATAAACAAGGTTAAAAGAAGCAAAGCAACAAGCTGGAAAATTACATTATTTTCAAACAGACAAGAGACCTAAATCTAGGATGTATAGAGAATTCCTATAAAGCAATGAAGATCTAAACAAATACCAATAACAACTCATCAAAAGATACTAACAGCAATTTACAAAGTGAAAATACAATGGACATAAGAACAAAAGTTCAGAAACATACTAGAGAGAAATTCAAATTAGATAAGCTACTTTTACCATAATAATGGCAAAAATTAAAATGTTTGAAAATGTTAGGCGTTAATTAGGGCGTGAAAAAATGGGCACATTCCTGTGCCACTAGTGGGGGTATAAAGTCGTCAGCTACTTCAGAAGACAATTTGACAGAACTATTAAAATTTAAAATGTACATGCCCAGCAATTCTACTTTCAGGTAGAAATACTCCCTCATGTGCTCAGAAAGCATATATAAAAATAGAGATGTTGGGCTTCCCTGGTGGCGCAGTGGTTGAGGGTCCGCCTGCCGATGCAGGGGACACGGGTTCGTGCCCCGGTCCGGGAAGATCCCACATGCCGCGGAGCGGCTGGGCCCGTGAGCCATGGCCGCTGAGCCTGCACGTCCGGAGCCTGTGCTCCGCAACGGGAGAGGCCAGAACAGTGAGAGGCCCGCGTACCGCAAAAAAAAAAAAAAATTGAGATGTTGATCAGCCTATTTTTTGTAAAACCAGAAACCTAAATGTCTGTCAATAAGATAATAGATAAATAGAATCTGGAACATTTTATGGGATACTTGGGAGCAGTTTAAAAGAATGAGGGATTTCCATATGTAATGACATGTAATATTATGTGTGAAAAAAGAAAATTGCAGAAAAATATCCACAGAATGGTCTGTTGCACGTGTCAATCTTGTTTGTGCTCATGCAAGGCTTCTTTCTCAAGGGGGATAAAAAATATATATATACGCACACACATATGAGTACACACATATATATATACATACATATATACGCACATATACACATATGTATGTATCTCCACAAAATGATGCTATTCATGTTTTAAAAAAATAGAAAAGAACACACACACAGCAATACCATCTACAGCTGTAATGCTAAGTCTATATAGGAGGTAAATGTATAGAAAATGGTATGAAAAAATGCCTTCAGACCTGGGGGTATAGTAGTGATCTGGGGGCAGGGGAGTGACCACGTTTGAAGGGGGCGATTCTAAGAGAATTTTCCACTTATCTCTATTGTTTTACTATCTCATAAGAACACATTTACACATGATTTTTAGAATTCAATATTGTTTCTTTTACAAAAGAAAATAAATTTTTCTCAGGAAAAAAATAATCTGCAGAGACCCCAGTCCATTTACTATTTTTTTTAAGTTCTTTTTTTTGATGTGGACCATTTTTAAAGTTTTTATTGACTTTGTTACAATATTGCTTCTGTTTTTATGTTTTGGTTTTTTGGCCACAAGGCACGTGGAATCTTAGCTCTCAGACCATGGACGGAACAGGCACCCCCTGCATTGGGAGGCAAGTCTTAACCACTGGACCGCCAGGGAAGTCCCCTCCATTTACTATTTACATTGTCATGCAAAGACCGTCTTGTCTCCAGTCACACTCTGGATTTTGCAGTTCTTGTGCATAACAAAAGGGTCTTCTAGGGTCTTTCCAGAACAAAGGAATATCTACCCTGCCCTGAAGTCCCTGTCAGGATGGAGTTCCAGGCAGAAGAAGTTTCAGACAGAAGTCTCCACCAATTGATGCAGGGCAGCAGCCTCATGCAAAGGAGAGAGAATAGCTTTAGTTTCCTTTCTAAGGAGAAGGACCTTGTCAGAAGCGACCACAGGAGCCCTTCTAGCGTCAGAGGGTTGGCCTGTTTTTGCCTGGCAGCTGTTGTCTACAGGATGCATTGCGACCAAAGTAATAATCATAGCAAACATTTACAGGCCCTATGCTGGGGGCTGCATATCCAGAATCTCACTTAATCCTCACAACCATCTGAAGAAAAGAGCCTTAGTACTCATTTAACAGATGAGGAAACGGAGGGTCAGACGGATTAAGAAAGGTTCTCGAGCAAATGACTCAAGCACAGTTCTAAGTCACACCTGCCAACCTCAAGCCTGTGCTCTGGCCTCCACCTGCATTGCCTCCCCAATTATATTACTGGTGAGTTTGGATGGGGTGGGTGGGCTGCGTTCCGATTAATTTGTGTACATTAACGTTAAATTTGTATTTACTTATATTTAGGTTAAGGGCTCAAAGTGATTTCTACAACAAGGCTAAAGAGAAGCCATCTTTTTTCCTGCCCACCCCCCAAGAAAGAGCAGCGGCTAGGGGTGGGGCTGGACCTACCACACTCTGGGAAGCAGAGGTCTCCTCAGCCTGCAGCATCAGAGCCAGTCTGGGGAGCCCCAAGTGATCAAAGTCACGGTTGAATCTGCCAGGGGATTCACGGCAGCTCTACCTCGAGATAACACACTCCCATGTTGGCTTTTCTGCCCCAGTCAGAATGCAAATTTCATGTTTTTGTAGTGATATTTCTTAATAGAGTCCATGTTTATTCAGACCAGGCACGTGGCTAGGGTCTTATATTGAAACCAATAACAAAAAGCCTGGAATTCCCATTTTCTTTCCTACTCCTGGTGCTTCTAGGGTCTTCTTATCCCAGTCCTATTTGATCCACCAACACACAGGGATCAGGGAAGAGGCAGGCAACTTAATCTTACAAGGTGAGGGAGACAGCACATCTACCCTCCAGATACAGGGAGCTTTTATAAAAGGTAACGACGTATGTAAAATTTCCCCCCAAATTACAATTCTCAGAGAGAGAGGGTTAGGAAAATAAATTTAGAGAAAAGAGTGGCAGATGGGATAGATGGATTCAATTAAAGCAAAGAACATCAAACAATTCCAGGGATGCCTCATTTTAATGGAACATGTCATTTTCTCCTCATCGCCTCCAGGTAACTCCCAACATCGGTTTAAGTAGGAAGTAGGGTGCGCACACAGTGCCTCAACCCAAGCAGGAGTTTAATATCCTCAAATGAGAGAGCTAATATTCCCTCCTCTCTTCTTTTCAACAATGTGGTGAAACAGCACATGAATCACACTAAGCGAATGCTGGCTCTGTATTTGATGCACTTCCCCAGAACCAGGTGTTATTCAAATTAAATAGGTATTTTCCATTGTCATCTCCATTGAACTGATTTCTTTATTTGGTCGTTGGGAGAGTCTCCTTTTTAATTAAACCAACCACTGTCATTTTTCTAAGAAAGATAATAAAACAATAAAAATATTTACACCCCTTTTATCTTCCTAAACATTAATCATGCGGGAAGAAGGTGTTACCCCTTTGCTAGACAGTTTTATCACACAGACATTATACTAACGTGCTTTAAATTACTGTTTTGCAGGTCAGTTTA